TTGGACTACCAATTTCCCTGACACATATTTTCTTCTCCAGTTACCTGGGCATAAGTTACAAAAAGGGGCAGAAAAGAGTAAGGAAGACAATTACTTAAAAAAAAATACAATTAGTATTCTATATATACATATGTGTGTGTATGCATGTATTGATCAACCTCAGAAGTTACTAAACTCTTTGATTCTTTGGAAGTTCTAGTTCATTATCAAAATAAAAATAATACTTTATGTTGTCAAAATTCTTTACAATCTAATTTAGTTTGATCATTTGCAAAGTTGGCAATGTCCAATAAAATTTTTTTAAAATGTACATAGCTTTTACACGTTAACCTTAATTCTTGGAAACCTATCTAATAAATAATTTATATAGAAAATTATTATATAAATAAAGGTTCTTGTCCTGTTAGTATTTATAAGAATGGGAAACACCTTTGTCAACAATAATGAAGTGACTTAGTAAAGCAAATTATATCTACTTACTAGCAAGTTACACAGTTGTTAGAATTATAATTAACAAAACTATGCAGCAAAACAGAATAATGCTTAAAAAGAAGGCTGATTTCAAAATTGTCTCTGTCACAACTATTAAATGAGTATTTATTAAAAACTAAACAAAAATAATTTTTAAAGGTCTGTAACACTCTTTTTCTGTTTCAAAATATTTGCTAATATGACTCATAATTTTGCTAAGAGGAGTATCAAAGGAGTTTTTCCTACCTGCTTTTTAACTTTCTGATTATCATTTCATGTGAGAGCTCATAGTTTTCAATAGTAAACAATCTAATATTAGAGATTTGATTTACTTGATAATTCATATTTCTAAGTTATATGTAGAAAAAAGACTATAATTATTTTTAAAAATTATTCTAAAGTTGATTTTTTTCCTTTTCTTTCTCTCCCCTTTTCTTTTTCTTTCTTCCTTCCATTTCTTTCTCTCTTCCCCTTCCTCCCTCCCTCCCTTCTGCTCTTTCTTTCCCTCTCTCCTTCTTTCTTTCCTTCTTTTTCTTTCCTTTTCCTTTCCTTTTCTCTCTCTCTCTCTCTCTCTCTCTCTCTCTC